GAGAGAGAGAGAGAGAGAGAGAGAGAGAGAGAGAGAGAGAGAGAGAGGACTCCTTTTTGATTAACGCCTGTTCGATGCTGCCTCTCTCCAGTGGTTCAGGAGATCCTCCTGGTCTTCCCCCCCGAGCCTGTCGGCCGCTGCGGCTTAGAAGCTGGGTGAACATATGCCTGCTATGATTACCTGATGGGCTGCAGGTGTGACCAATGCCATGTGCCTAGTGGCTGCAGCACCTGAACCGGATAGAACACTCCCTCTATCCCCCATCCTGAGCTTGGGGATCTGCCCCCTGTGCTGGATCTGCTTGGCTTTTTCCCCTGGTTGCCACAAACTATGTATCCAACCTTTGTCATTGTGAGCATGTTAGCATCTGTCTGTGCGTATGCCTAAATACAGCCTCACAGAGCTGCTAGCATGACGTTAAACTCTTCAGTCTTGTTTGTCTGAAAATGGTTGCTGTTTGGCAACCAGCTCGTAAGATGCCAGGAAAGAAAGACTCATCAAAATACTCTGTGGTGCCAAATACATTAACAAAATGTGTTCGATGATAATTGTTTCCCGTCAAGCAAGATTTAAGTCTCTGCAGATTCATTTAAAAATCTTATAGGCGCACACTTGCATCAATCAATTGCTGCCATGGATGATAAGAAAAAAAAACATGAATCAATCTAAAAACTGTAAAATGCAGCTGGGCAAAAACCAAACAGCTGTCTTTTTGTGTTGCTTTCATTTTTATCTATCATACATCCTTTTTGGCATCTTCTCCCTCCCAATAACAAAAAACATTCCTAAAGATGGAATCTGCTGTGTTTTGATTAATACAATAATAATAATAATATCTGTGTAGCAGAGTGTCAAAAAACACAAAACTGGCACTGGCTGTTGTGAAAAGTCGATCAGCTTTTTGGGTTGCACTTGTTTCGGTTTGCAATGCCAATGAAATCTTTTTTTAGATAGAGACAGTTTGGGAAGTGGCACAATTCTCATCATGTTTGTATTTTCATAATCAAGGCTAATCTATAAGCCAAGTAGAATCAAACTTCGTATTTAATTTCACAATAACTCTGCCATCTTTCCTAAATAGCTCTCGCTGCATAGAATTATAGACTTCAGCTTTAACTACACTTATTTTAACACATTCTGGCATATCCTTATATACACTCTAATCCCTTTTCTCTTTTAATTTCTTCCGGGTCTCCTTCACAGAGCTGAATCTAGCAGCAGCTATCTTGGCTCTTTTGAGTTTGACCATGATGGTAATGGGCTCCATCTGTATCGCCATGTCCCTCAGCAAAGGAGTACCCTTCTTTCTTAAGCCAGGCTCCTTCTGTTTCATCCTATCAGGTGGGACCTCAGTATGCTATGTTACTTATAACATTCAAGAGTGGCAATATCCCTAACTGACTGATATTTGGCAAGATGATTATTTGGTTATTTATGAACAGTTATTGGTGAACGTTACCGAGTTATCTTCTAATTTTATTTTATTTTAACATCTCTTTTTGTGCAGGTGTACTGGTCCTTCTCTCAATCCTGATATTCCACCAGTCTGTGCTGTCCTTGCTGTCCAGTGACCACTCCATACCTCTACACCATGAGCTGTCATGGTCTGTGGCCTGTGTGGGCTCATCGGGAGCCATCCTTATTTTCGGAGGTTTCCTCTTCATTATCCTCTCCCTTCCTTTCAGCCCATGGCAGAAATGCTTGCCACACAATAATAACACCACCTAGCACTTGAATGACAATAAAATATAGATACAGTATTCTTGATTTCTTGTTTGAGAGCAAATGGAAACGTCCGTTTCTGGAGGCCGTAACTTTACTTGCTCTTAGCATTTAATTTATCAGAGAAGTCAAACTTAAGTCTTAATAAAAGGTATAAGGAGAAGTCAGCAACACATTGGTGAGAGAATGTGCAAAAATTGTTTCAGTGTTTTTTTTTGTAGAGTGTCTAATTTTTAGTTGTGTTTACTTCTACAAATAGCCAGCCTATAGCTGTACATCCACACAAACCTAGGTTTTCTGCTAGCATAAGAAGAGTAAATAAAAACTTTATAAATGCTAAGACACTTATTTATTTTAAAACCTCTGTTTGATATGGAAGCCCATTTCTGCTAAGAAATAAAAAAAGATGAAAAGTTAGCAACAATACTCCACATTAAATGACAAAATGCATCTTTTGTCCAATCCCTTTAGAACGAAAGAAGCGTTTTTTGATCTGACTTAAGCCAAATTGTGTGTGAGCAGTGAGCAAGCACTGCATACTGCTAATTTGTTGTGACCGCGCGGACAGTTAGCGACAGTTATGGACAGTTAAGATGTAGCACAGCGATCTACTGCACATGTGTGGAACGTGTCCTCAAAGCGAACAGTATGAACAGAACTATTACTTGTCCGCAGTTGTCCACAGCTGTCCATGTAAGAGTCTTTATCTGTCTTTTAAAACTATTACACATCAATGCTTGAATATAAATCTGTTGTATGGTGCATCAATGCTGTTGTTAAGGTTTGGTTTTGATCAGTATGACTACTTTGTTAAGATTAGGAGACCTTCATTATAATGGGAATATAATACACATGTGAGTAAGGTTAGGGAACGATCATGGTCCCTTGTCCAATGTTCTGTCCGATGTTTTTTTGACCAATCCATCCCGCCACCGGTCACACTTACTACGGCTGCTAGGGGGCACTGTCACTTGACTGTAAGCATATTATGTCCTTTTTTTGGGTACTGATGCTGTCATTCTTTTTTTAGAGGACAGTCTCAAAGTGAGACATAATACAAAGTTATGACATTGTAAATCAAAAGTTTGACGAAGTCAAAATGACAAATACCAAGTCAGAAATGGTGACTTTTTTTAACTTTTCATGCTTTCTTTCAGGAGGAAATGGGCTTCCATAGTTTAAAATTCCTAAAGCGCCATTAGAATGTAATACCATCAGCATAGCAACATACCACGTTTGTGATAATGCTAACAATCCGTATGGAGGAGGTCCAGATTACTTTCAGAGAAGATACTTCTCACATGTATATAAAAGGCAATGAGTATCCTCAATATTAGAAATAAGTACTATGAAGCTTTTCAACCATTAATATTTGATTAATATGAGGCTTCATGTCATTATTTATTACTTACGTGTGTTTTGCAACTATTGGGTGAATGCTGCTTCAGTATGAATGAAATCGACAGTAAAAAGTGATTAAATTACCATTTTGTGTATCAGAGAATTGTATGGACTCACTTTATAAGCTCAACTTTGTACATAAACTGAATGACTGTGTTTATATTGAGTGAATGGTCACTGCATTGCTCTCTCCAATGACATTTGCAGTATGCAGTAGATACACTTTAGTTTTGTCATAGGATGCTCACCATGTCTCTCTACCAGGAAATGCAATTTTACAAAATATATGCTAATTTCTACTCATATATATGTACAGTATGTGGCACCAGATTTGCTCATCATTAAAAGGATTTGACATGAAATAATTGCCTCCCTTTTGTTGCTGACATGGCAGCCTGTCTGCTCTCAAACTTGACATTCACCCATTTCACCACTTCACAGTGTGACTTCTAACCTCTCTGCCAAAGATCCACCTCTCCCAAACCCGCTCCTCTATATTTAGGTTGGAGCTCATCGTAATGCATTTCACTGCAGAGGTTGGGAAACCTTATCCTTGAATTTAAACTATGTAACCCCCCTCTATCCTATCCTCGTAGCTCTGTGCCCCCTCCTCCTCCACCCCTGACCTCAGTGCGTCACTTTGCCTGTTGTCTCCAGGCGAGCCTGTTGGACACTACTCCTCCACCCTACCTCAAACTAACCCCTCTGCCCCACACACACACACAAGGACAAGGGGACTATCAGATCAGAGATGTCCCAATAACTATTCTAGCAGCTGGCCAGCTGGGGAATGAGTGGCACCTACCCACACATGCTTTTAACTCTCAGTGGGCAGAAACCAAATCCTGATGACACACTATCCTGGTTGTATATATAGCTGTTACTAGTTCTACTGAGACTATGTGACATGTGGTACACAACCACTACGGTAGCTGCATGTTTTTACATCGAAATGGGCTTCCTATATGTAAACATATGAATGTTCATATATCTTAAGCTGTACAAGGAGTGAAGCCTGTGTAGCAGAAGACGTTGGCAGCCTCTCATCCTTCCTCCTTTAATCTCAGCTGCATCACTGTGACTAGAACCAGACTGTAGGTATGATAATAGCAGAGGAAGGCACTCCAGATAACAAGTCCTCAGGCTCCAGGAGCACTAGGAATCTCATGCCCCTAAGGCATCGATTATCATCTCCTGTCTCTGAAGATTCCCGCTTTCCTCCCTGACAGTGATCAATCCTCTGAGGTCAAGCAAAACCTGCCCAGTGGACCTGATGGGAGCAGTAGACCTTCACAGTACTTTATAATTATTCATTCAAAAACATGCACGAGGTACCAGATGGGCCCACGAGGAAAGATAATGATATGGTCAGGTAGGGCGGTGGGCACAGAAAAGTACACTGAATTAACTTTTTCATTATCCTATTTGATAAATACCGCCCATCTGGCGCTACCCATATATTTGCAAATATTATGAGTCTCATGTCTGACAGTGAAGGTCGAACTCTTTTTAGGATCACAGCACACCAAAGATTAGCTGAAAGACCTTGAGCTTGAGTAACTACTAAGAGCAATGTTTGCTTACTAATGTAGAACAATGTGTGTATGTGTGTGTGTGTGTGTCTGTGTGTGTGTGTGTTATAGCCCAGTAGTGGGAAGTAACTAAAGTACTTTTCAGTTTAAGATTTTACACAAACAAAGCACATGATCAATTTATAATGTATGATGCATTTTTATAGAGTAAGTTCACCAACAATCTATAGAGCATTAAAATTGGCTTCACCTGGCATTTTATTAATGCATTAATAATAATATTAAATTGATACATTAGTATATTCAGTTGCTGATACTTCTTTACTTTTACTTAAAGATCCCCTCCAGACATGTTTAAAGACAAATACAAATATTCGGCTGAGAAAGAATTAAAATTACATCTACTTTTTCCCTCTCATTGGAAATATTGTTTATTTCAAATATTATAGACACAGTGTCTGCTACTTCACTGTCAAGTCTATTCTCAGTATATGTGCACTGGAGGTTTCAAGTGTCCACATCACACTTGATCAAGTGGCATTTTGAACCACGATTGGCTACCAAAGAGATGTTACAAAATCTTGCTTGTACGTACACGTCTTAATCTCAGATTTATGTTGAGCACAGAGAAATTCTCTGCAGATGAATGTAAAAACAGACTGATAGTGTCAAACAGCACACATACATCATTCTGTACATCCCATTGAAACAACAATAAGCTAAATATGTTTTTTAAGTGGAGGGGCGATTTGAAGTATTTTCAATGCAGGATTTGAACTGATAATGGATTCGTTTTAAAGTGTGATATTGCTACTTTGACTTAAAGGAACTCATAACGAAATTCGGAGCAATTCTATTGATCCACACGGCTCTCAACATGGCGATGGCTGAGCCAGTGGCTCTCAGCTAACGGTTGAAACGGTGCTAACACAGAGCCAGTGTGGAGCAGTTTCTGTCTACCGGCTGAATGTAAGTCCAATATCCATTCTTCCAATAGCTCTGTTTCTACCAACTTCTGAGGGAAATATCGAGCTCTTTAGCTGCTAAATGCTCCACTGTGTTCGCCAGCAACCTGCTAACTCAGTTTATTTGCTGGTGGTGCTGAGCAGCTAGAGTACAGTAGATTATTAGAGATTTTCGGTGAAAACAGCTGCATCCAAAAGCGTTGCTGTGAGAGCGACGAGAATAACTTTGACGACCAGACAGCTAAATCAGCTGAAACTCACTATAAACCTCCATAAACCCAAGCGTTGTTCATATTAAGTTGATAATTCTCTGGGGCTTCATATCTACGAGGAACTCTTTTCACGGTCACATTGTTTTCACCTTTGTCATTAGATACATGGTAATTATGAAAATATCAATTATAGGCGCTTTAAGTAACAGGTAGGAATACTTTTAGATTGTCTATAGATGCTCTTGAAAGATACTCAAAACAAGAAGAGACCCCACTCTTCTTTCTTAGCAGAACAGAAACAAAAGACAGCAGTCTGTGAATATGTCTGTTATTGTTTTTTTTATAAACTTCGTGCAATACAGTGTTTAAGTTTATCACACATTTAGATAAACCATAATCATTTGTCTAGATATATCTATTCTCAACTACATACTATTCATATTGCCCACATAAATGCTATCTGTGTGCAGTTTGTATCACATTATTCTTTTTCTGAAATGAAATCAAAGAAATGAAAATGTATAGAATCTGGAAGCCTCTGGTTTGTTTTGTTTCTTCATTATATCATGTAGCGGTGTGTCCATGGTTTCAACCTGGATCTGCAGTCAGTCGGGACAGTTTAGAAGAGGGGGGCGGGTGGGAGGGTGTTTACATGTGTTTACATTCTTGACATAAACAGATCAGGTCAGGAGTCAGCGCTCACAGGGAAAGCACAGTGAAAAGAATCATGTAGAGGTTTGGGGGGGGGGGGGCCTCTGTGGTGAATCTGCTGTTGGTCATGTGATAAAGTTAAGGAACACTGATCATGTGACCAAATATGGGCGGGCAGGGGGAGCAAGTATGGCAGCGCAGGGTTGGTGGATGAAACCACCCAACAAGAGTCCAGGGAGGGCACCGGGAACAAAACAGCCCAAAAATGCATACCCAGTTAAAACAGTGGTCCCGAAAAATGTATCTATAGACTTTACAAATATATGTATGCGTAAATTACAATGTACATGTATCTTTTCAAAAGTTTTTTCTCTATAGTGTTTTTTTTTTTTTTTAAACCCTTCCAACCCACATATACATATTGTCTTTTTTTTGCCACTGAAAATGATGAGTTGCATGTCTCACTTTGGGACTCTTCATAGAAAAAAATGATTAGGTTTTTTTGTTTTTCTGCTCAGGCAGTAACCTTTACCTGAATCTGTACAAATGTATTATTCTATTTCTCTTTTTTTCTGCTTCCTCCAGTCAGAGGTTTCTGTTAATGCCCAAGAACAAACATCTTCAACACGACTATAGCTACAAGTACTACTGTTAACACTGATTAGAATGGAAATAAGACTAACAGAGGCCCATAGAAAACTCAGACTTATAATAACAAGGAAGTTGGTCAGTTGTCTCAGTCACTCACATTATTGTTGCATTTCTGTCAGTATCAATATTGGAAGACAATTTACAAGTAGTCAAATCTGACTTCATGTTATAAATGAAAATTATATAATATGGGGGTTAAAAAAAAACAGGCCCTCATTCTCCCACATATTGTGCACACTCATGCTTGACACTTTGACACAGTTACACACAGCTCACTGAGAGTCCCAGTGGCTCTGTATGGAAGAAATTCACAGTAAAAGTCATAGAGATCTAAAATTAGAGTGAAAGTAACATGAAAATTAAAATTTTCATTCCAAACTATAGTGTTTGCAAATACGGCTAGCCTGTAATAACGCTAAGAATAATCACAACAACAATTTTACATTAACGATGATCTGGTTAATTAGCGGTAATATTGCACAAAAAAATATGTGAAACATTTTCATAATAGCCCAAGGTTAATTGTGTTTGATCATTAACAAAATAAATCATTTCTAGCACGTTAAAATATCAAAATAGTTTTATTGTGAAAGTTCATTGTTGTTGTTATTATCACTCTGTTATTACTCATCTTCCTTTTGTTCTCAGTGAGATTGAGCAGACTAAATAACCGTGAACATGGAGGGAGAGATTTAGTATTTCACCTGTCTGTCTGTCTTTCTATCTATTTCCTATTGAGCCACACAAACACAGCGCTCCTCTCTAATTTCCCTCTTTCATTACTACCCATCTTCCTTCTCTCCCTTCCTTCTCGCCCTCTTTCACCCTCTCTCTACACAGGTGTTGTCTTCCTATTGAGGGTGTTAGAGTTGCTCTCCCTGTCCCCCTTCAGCCTGTCCAGAGTCCCCATCCCTCGCTCCCTGTCTACTGTGGACGAGGTGAAGGGTGGAGGGCCGGAGCCCACCGAGTTGGGCATCGGCGCGTTGGAGTTGGAAGAATTGGAAGGGTTGTGGGACTTAAGTGATGGAAGTGTACCACTCATCATCACCCCCCCTCCACCTACATCCTTTGGGAAGCAGTTGTGGAGCTGGTAGAGCGTGGCCCTGTCCACCGTTCCATACATGGGCGGCAAACCCCCCAGTTTGGGGTCACGGGACAATGTGTAGAGAGAGATGTCGCCTCCAGCCAGGGCCGTGTGGGAGCGAGAGTGGGGGTTTGGTAAGGTGGATACTGAAATTGGGCCCTGGGAAAGCAGCGCAGAGGGGGGCAGGCCGAAGTTCTTGCCCCCACCTCCCCCTACAGGTGAGGGGTCTCGGGAGCGGGAGGGGTCGGTGGAGCGAGACGAAGAGCGGGAGCGGCGGCGGAAGCGGTAGCTGGGCAAGCGGAGCATTGCGTGCGTGGTGCTCTTGAAAATGTCGGTGCGTGAGCGGCAGCGCAGCTCCTTGTTCTTCTCGATGTAGATGTTAACAGCCAGCACCCCCACCATCTCGGCCATGATGAAGGAAAGACCTCCAAAGTAAAAGGACCAACCGTAGGAGTACTGCCACTTCTTATCCTCGTCCTTCTTAGGGGAGATGTCCCCCAGTGCGGCCGAGATGTACACAATCACACCGATTATGTTACTCAGACCTGGGGGAGCACAGAATTATGGTATTTACAAAAGAGCTAAATAAACTCAGACAGACACATTTTATTGACATGATGATTTGTGACATTGTCAATGAAGACAACTGCCAAGATGAAGGTTGAATGTAAACACCTCCATTAAACTGGCAGAATAGTCTAAACACAACTAGACACACATAAAGCATGAAAACTGTTTGGGCAAGTAATATACTGCATACACTCACACACGCAGTCACACACATATAAGCACACATTATTCTTAAGTTACCTGCAGCCACAAAGAGAATTCCTGCCCCTAGGATGATGTTTCTTTTGCTCTTATAGAAACGGCTAGCAGCGATACAAAGCCCTCCCATCAACAGCAGGATGGCACTGAGGATCGGGAAGATGTTGGAAGCCCTGACTACCCCTAAACAGAGGAGAAAAAAATGGTGAATATCAAAAACTAGAAAAGAGTGTAAATATATGTACAATGACATGGGACTTCTGTGAGAAAATCTGTCTTACAGATATAAAAGATAATAGATTTTTATGACATCAGACCCTGTTTTTGATAGTATTTGTGGTTATCATTTTTTTTCCTATGGATATTATATTACGTTTAGAGGATTCAATTGGCAAGACACAAGCAGGCTTTTATTGTAAGGAAGTCATAGGAAACACAAGGTATTGCTGACCTTCATCATTCATCAAAAATGCTTCTACAAAACAAGACAACGTTGCAGTATTCCTGAAACAGCAGATGCTCAACGAGTGTTAACTGTAGTGTTAAAGGTGCTAAATACAAGATTGATTTTTCTATTACCTCTCACGTGGCTCTCATTTTGGCGATGGCTGAGCCGGCGGCTTGCAGCTAGCAGTGCAAACAGCGCTAACAGTGCAAACTATGGCAACAGTGCTGACAGAGCAAACACTTTTTACCTGAGGGGGAACTGGAGGGTGCTACGCTTCTGCAACGACTCCGTAGGTTGGGACAACGCTATCAGCTGTAATGGCAGTATAAGTGCAGTGCAGAGCGGCAGCAGTGAGCTAGCCAGTGGGGCACGCTCTAACATGCACTAAAACGTACGCGGCAAGCTTGGCTATGTCAACAAAGCTAGAAGTTGTCGGATTACAACACACACAGAGAGCGACTTTATTCTCTGTTCATGTAGACATTACTCCACCGCAACTTTACATAGCAAATAGTTGTTTGCTGCTATATTCTATAGAATATAGAGTCTATGCTCTGAGTCCCGTATATTGCACCTTTAAAGTGCACTTGCGCTAACCACGCTTGTCACCAAATCAACTGGGAATTTAACTTTTAGGGTTACAACTTTAAGAAAACTGGTGCTGTACTCCAAGAAGAGTAAAATGACCAACAAACACACTTATACCACATAACCCAGGTTTGGACAATACAAGGATGCAGCATAATAGTCACAGAGAAAATAAAAATGGTTAAAGCTGCTCCATTGAAACCAATACTGAGTGAGGAAATTAATTACTCAGTCCTAGACACACGATTGAATCAAACCCTTCCCATGTGGCCTTTAGTGCTTTCAGCAGGTCTGCCAAACACACACACACACACACACACACACACACACACACACACACACACACACACACACACACACACACACACACACACACATTAACACTCATCTCTAGGACAACTAGGCCATGGGAGAGAAAATGCCACCTAAATGCCAGCAAAATGCCTCTGCAACATTGTAAACAGAACACAAGCTTTTCCTTATGTATGCACAGGCACACATGTAGCATATCATGGAGCAGAAAGACATCACTGCAGGGCACTGAGTACGAACTAGGACACTCCATCTCCCCTGACTTTCTGTACACAATGTCACGTTTATTTCTTGCAAAGATAATCTTCTGAGGAATGAGCAATAACAAAACCAAGTGTAAACCATAATGGAATTTCCTTTTACACTATTACATTTTACACTATTTTCAGAGTTCTCTCTCATTTATCATCCATGCCTAGTAGTGTTGGTATTGACTTACGTAGAACGTACTCTGCCCCATCATGGTCAAAGTCTGCATCTTCTGGGAAGTGGTTGATCTGAGAACACACTCCTCTCTTTACTCCTGAGATATGAGAGGAGAAACAGAGGTGACCAGACACAACAAAAGACAGAAACTCATAACTGTAACCTTAAGAAGAGTGAACAGCAAACAGTCTCCTGAGGAAAAAACTGATTGGTGACTCAACAGTCATAGCTTTGTTTGAAAATCTCTTTTATGAATCCAATGTGCCAGATGATAAACTTCAACATAATAATAAAAACATCACAAATTCTAAATGCAAGTTAGTAACGTCACATACATCACACACACGTAAATACATACAAGTATGCAGACACACAGGTAGACAAATAACTACCCGCCGGGGTCTTGCATGTAGACAGACAGACGAACGGAGGGATGATGACAGCACACCACTGTTGCTGATGGATGGATTGTGAGAAAGATGGATGGAAGTGATGGAATGAAGAGACACAGACGGAAGGAGAGACGGACAGATGTGGGATGAGCTGGTCTCTTTCTCACAGCTCTTACATTTCCACAGGTTGCTCTGTAAAGAAACGGAGGTACATCAGTTGAACTACACAAATCAGTGGTACCATTCTCAGACAAACTGCTTCAGGTGGCGTTCGTTCATTTTTTAGTCATGAGATGCACTTTGACAATAGACTGGTTCCAATGTTTTACACACATCTGTTGCTCTGTCTTTTTTTGACATAATGTGCAATATCATGGACAACAATAAAGACTTAACTTCAGATTTAGCATTGTACATACATGTAGCTATTTGCCACTTCTCATACATATCTATGATATCTTTCCGTTAACCTGTTTACATTTTTGGCATTCTGTATAATTTTCACCTAATTGATATTTTATATTTGCATTCTTTCCAACTTTCTACTGCAACTGCTGCACAACGATTTCCCTTGTGGTGAAGAAAGCTCCGTCTTATCTCATCTTATCTCGACGTGCTTGTCTTCATCAGTGAAGGGTCACTTGTACCCCAAAGGGTACTGGTTCTGGAGGGTTCTGCAGTTGCCAGGGGGAACGTGGAAAGATTTTGAATGGCTCAACTAATTTGAAAAACAACAAAGTTAAGGCTGAATAAGATAAATAAATAAGTCCAAAATATAAATGAAACAATTCACACATTTAGTCAGCTTTAACACATCAACAAAGTGCGCAAAAAAGTAAAAACTGTGAGCTGCAAGTAAAGGAAAATGCTTAAAGTTAGTCAAAAGCGATGGATGAGTAATTGAAATAGTTGGATAGCATATAAAAAGATTATTACTATTAAAGTTATTATAAGATACATTGTTGAAAGATAAAATTTGCACATTGATAAAACAGATAGCTGGTCGAGCCTCTATACTTCAAGTGTGAACTCAACCAAACTGACCTCAACATTAAGAGTTCATTGTATGTATTATAACAATATCCATTTTTATATCATGAATAGTATTATATAATACCCGGTTAATAATAAATCAGTGAACTCATCTATAACCTGATGCTTGGTGTCGCTGAAGGGGTACCTGAGTCTAGCTGACAGAGCTGTGGGGGTAGGTTAAATACGTGCTACGCATAAAAAAATCAGACAAATAAAAGAAAGTAATGACTGACAGGTAATTCAGTGCAACACCAGCTTCATTAAACCTGCAGAAGAGCAGTAGAGGAGGACAGGACACATCTCTATCTACAGCATAATGTGCCACCCACCCACAGCCATAAATCTTTTAGCTCTAGCATGTCCTGCATTTCCACTCCAGCTACACCTCACTGCATCGCTGCACGACTACTGAGAATCTCTCTTGGCTGAATACCCCACAGACATCAAGGATACTTGACCTCTAAGCCATGCCAAGATACTGTCAGCCTTACTGCACCACAATGTGAAAGAAAAAACTGAAAGAGAGGAAACTTCAAGGAGGGGAAGAGGAGGAGAAACCAGTGAAAGATTAAATTTAATGTTTGGGGGAGTGAGACAGAGGGATAGCAAGTGGAGAAACTGAAAGAGTCAGGCATCGGAGGGAGTGGGTGGGGGTGCACTGCTGCAGTGCTGCAAGGGCTAGAGCTTATCTCTAATTGGCTGCTTTGCTATCAGGAAGCTTAGAGATGAGGACAAATTAGCTTTGTACAATGACCAAGCCCAGGATGGGCTGGGGATGCTTTATAAGGAGAGCCAAGAGGTTTTCCTGGAGACAGAAGTCTGCAGCAAATGCACAGATTGCTAACTCTCACCACCCCTTTGGCTGTAGCTGCTTCACTGTTAGCTCCATCCCAGCCGTTGCTGTCGAGTGTTAGCCAGGCAGTGTAATGTATAATGAATTAGCAGCTCGTGTTGATGACCACTTGGAGTGAGAAGTCGATGGGCGTCAGGGTAAACGTGGGCCTTTTGTTTCAACACTTGAATTAAATTACTGCAGCCTGAATCGAACACAATGATTAATAGATTATTTTGAGTAAGGGTTATGCTTCAGTATCATGTAATTATACTGCAATTATGCAAAATTGTTTTCTTGTCACTATGGTACGGTCTACCAAAGTACAAATAGAATGTGTACATGTTGATGCAAATAATGATGACTGACATTATAGCAATGCCGCAGCTTCCCAAACAAAGTGTTCTAAGGTCAAGTGAAAGGCGGACACAGCTGAACATGTTAACACTGATCCCGCTTTGCAATGCACGAAATAAAGAAATAAAACCAGCAACACATGGTGAAATATGATTACACTTAAAAGCTTTGATATAGCCAAGAGATTTTCATTGCACTGTAATGAGTTCAGTTCAGTTGGATCCATCACTACCTCCAGTGTCCAGTGCCACCCACTCGAAATTGTCGAGTGTTAAATAGTCAAATCACAGCAGAGGCAGAAAGACAAGAGTTTGTGATTACAACAAAGTAATCAGTAATTCACTAATGTCTGCTCAATCTGAATTATTCTACAGGGAAAATGGGCAAATATCCCCTCTTACTTGACACTTTAAATTTAGAGTAGAAATAACACTTATTTAGAATAGTTTGACATTTTGGGAAAAACGCTTATTCACTTTCTTGCACAGAGTTAGAAGTGAAGGTTGATACCACTTTCATGTCTATACTGCGTTATTATAAATCCCACTCTTCTGGAAAGACCTGCCCTGTGCAGCATTCAAGCACCAGGATTGGTCAAGCGTCCATGCTTGCCGAGGTACTGGTAACCTGATATTTTTATGTCCTACGCTTTGTTCAATGGGCTAACCTGACTCTAACTATACTTAATTTAGTTTATGCCTATCCTCAACCAATCATCTCCGACTAAACCAGCTACGCAGGCCAGATCTTGCCAAGAAGACTAGAGGGATTTGTAATTACACGTCGGTGCTGTAAATATGAATTCTTGTTTTATATGCTTCAGTTTTTGTACTGATTTGATAAACAAGATATAACGTGTTGATTAGTGAGTTTTAGAGGTGCAGGTAGGTGGACTTTGTTACCTTTGGACAGAGCCATGCTAGCTGTTTGGTCCTGTTTTGAATCTATATGCTAAGCTAAGCTAACGGGCTGCTGGCTTTAGGTTTATGTGAAATCAATCTTCTCATCTAACTCTCAGAAAGAAAGCAAATAAGCGCATTTCCCAAAATATTTCTTCGATCTTTAGTTGACTCGGCTTTATTTTCCCTGTTCACAAGTCCTAAAAGTAAGACGGTCTAGTCTGACTACATTTGGATCTTCATTAAATGCTTAATGGTTGGAAAGCAACCATTAAGCAAACCAAAGCAAACTTGTTCCTGCAAGCATCCCCTTCAGTACAAATCCCACCACAACTTCTTCTTTACCTTCCAGGCAGCATATCCTCCACAGTCCAGAGTGGGTGAGCGCCCCAGGATCCTTCTTGTCCTTGTTATGGGGGTCATCCTGGGAATGGTTGGCTGTACTGTTGCAGATCATGGCACGGGAATACAGCCAGTAGTCCGTCCCTATCGCCACCGTCATCAGGCCGAAGGCAGCGAATGCCCCCACGGTGGTGAGAAGGATCTGGATCCCCTTCTCACACACCATGCCTTCAGAGAGAAAAGATAGGAGGAAGAAGGGTGGGAGAAAAAGAAAAGGATGAACAAGTTAAAAGGACAAGAAGGAATGGAATAACTAAGCAGAAGTGTGTTACAATCATACACCAAGTGACGGCAAACGTTCAGGTGAGATGAGGGGCAACAGGAGGTGAGGTGCACCGATGGAGGGCAGAGAGGGTGGCAATGGGAAAAGGAGCGAGGAGGAGGCGGATGTGGGAGGTGCATAAGTGGCTCTATGATGTGTCCTTGGAGGAGAGTTGGATGACTCTGCTGACTCCGCTTAACAAGACAGAATTGATGTGAAACACAACAGATCACACCCTCCCAATCTCAGTGTACTCCATATTCATGACCCTGACACCATTTCCCTCAGAATCAGCACGGCTGAAGATGAATACACAAACACACACACACACTTAGCAGATGTATTGAGATCACCTTGTTCCTATACAGTCTTCTTCAGGAAGAGAATGTGGCTGCACCTTTTACATACAAATGTGCATGTATGCTCCCACACAAAAAGCATCAGACAGCTGGTCACATTGACCCATGAAGTGGCGTATAATTGTAAATATTCTCCACTATGTTCAGCATCAGAAGTTTTTATTTTATCCTAATAATGATGATTCTTACAGACATTAGAACAGACTGAAGCAAACTCTCAACCAGTGAAGACTTACCTGACGGCGAGTTTCTATCCTTCGACTCAATTTTGAAATCTTTCTTTTCCTCGTCAGTGAAGAACGTGCTGTCCCCTCAATCCGGACAGCATCCATCGACTGTTTTCACCCGCTCCCCTCTCTCCTTCTTGCACTTGTTCTCTCTCTTTTGCCTCTTTCTCTTGCTCTCTCTTTTTTCCTTTCTTTCTCACTGGAAAGCTGTTGCTGGTGGAGGTTGTAGCTTGGACGGTTGTCCCGCTCTCCGTCCGTCCTCTGTTAGCAGAAAACTTGCACCATGGTCACTGCTCTGCTGCTGCACATGAAACAAAAGCAAAAGTAAAGGGATTTTTTTCACGTTCGTAGCTCATGTAGTTGCAAAGGCCATGAATTTACAGATGAAAAGAAAAGAGAGTTTAAATAGTATATAATGAAAAGTATATCAGAGCTGCAGTAACTCCGTTATACTGAAATATATACGTATATATAGCCCGCTAGAACGGTCACAATGGCAATAGTACACCTAAAAAAAGGCCGCTGCTCCGACAATCCTGCTAAGTTCATTTGAACGGCAATGTCTGTAGCTACTCCAATTTCATTTATGTGTATTGTGCTAATTAATAAATGTTAGCATGCTCACACAATAAACTGAACATGGAAAACATGATACCTGCTTAAAGTCAGAGTGTTTGTATTATCACTGTGAGAATGTTAGTCGGCTTGAATTAGTATTTAGAAACTGTACCAACTACAGCCTCACATAGCTGCTAGCACGGCTGTAGACTCTTGCTGCAGATTAATTTCCTGTTGATTGAGTAATCATCATCAACCCACCAGCTCTACATTCTACACCACAGATGCTTTTTTTAAATTGTTGTAAGCCAATATTGAAACATTGTTTGTACAGATTAGAGTGATTATAAGTGACAGTATTGCAGGCTAAGCACAGAATGACTCCAGAGCGAGTTGTACCGCATCTAGCCTGAATAAGAAGAGCAAGAGGCAGAGAGGACCAACCCGACATTGTTACCATAGCAACATTGAATTCCAAAGTCTGGATCAGCATAGAGCGAGGGGGGGGGGAAAGGGAGAGGGGCAGGCAAGAGATAGAGGGAGAAAGAGGCAGAGAGCAAAGCGGAGAGAGGGCAGAGAAGAGAGAGAAGAGAGATGGGAAAGAAAGAGGCAGGAATGGGGGGGGGAATATTTCAAATCACTAGCACGAGTGTTGACTGTGACACACAGACAGACACACAGACAGACCAGTGCGCTAATGCTCTATCAATAGATTTGTGTGTGACCATGGTGACACAGATGCTCCCAGACAGACACACACGCACATGCACACACATGCACGTGCACTCAAAAACACACGTCAATAAAGACAAAGCAACGTCAGTTACTGAAGAGACAACGAGAAGAAACCGCTCCGTCGGTGTGTTTTCTTGATGAATTAAGGGGAAAAAATTGAGGATGCAATAACGCAGCACACATTATTCAACAAACATTATTTAGCCGACATAATGCAGTGCAGTCAAGTCTGTTAATATTTGATGATGCAATATGGCACCGTGATCAAAATAGGTTACATCCTGTTTGCATTGTGAGACCCAAAACAGAGCTGCCTCAGAGACAGAAGGAGAGATGGAAGGAGAGACGGTGTGTTGTGTGTGTGTGTTTTTTTACGTGTGTGCACATTTCCTCTCCAATGCATCTGAGGATGGGTCTGGTCCAATCTTATTGAATCCCAGTAGGCCTAATGTTCCCCTCGGCTCCCCTCAGTTAGACAGTTAGCCTCCTATCTCTGCGTTCAGACTCCTTATTATGTAAACTGTCAAATGACACCACCACAGTGTGGCTTATTTATACATTGTGGGCTCATATGTGCAAGCAGACAAGTGAATGTGATTGTGATTGTGCGTGTATGTGCGTGTGTGTGTGTTTGTTTGTAGTATGACCTTCCAACCCTATCAACATACTGCCTCTCCCTGAGGTAAATACATTTCCAGAAGGGATTACACTATCTCCAAGACCTAAGAAATGCAGTATCTATTGTGTGTGTGTGTGTGTGTGGTCTTTGACTCCAGTATTTAATGAATGACCTTAACAATAACCTCCTAAGTTATTACCCTTAGCAAAAACTCCCTTGTGTAGGAGATCATAATTGCCATTTAATTATCTGTAATTTCTATTTTCCACTAATAATTAACAAAGAGGGGAACGAGGGGAACAAGAGCAAGAGACCGTGGAAGAACAAGAGTGCAAGAAAAAAGAAAGAAAGTGTGAAAGTTTAACTAAATGGTTAAGACTAAGGGACTGTACAAAAATTGCTTAACGATATTAAGGTTTGAATTTGGGTACACAGTGCTCCTCATCAGGCTACACTAACCGCTGCTATAGCTCAACCAAACAGTCATCAGTCAAGTTTCTTTGAGGGTAATGTAGGCGCCAGTAAAAGCTCATTACACTCTTGATGTATTGCTATACGATTTAAAATGCATTGACAACAGTTACGTTCCAATCGAGATGCTCCGACTTTTAATCTTGTGGGAATTGCTTTGAGACAATTATTTCAAATATGTTAAGAAACAAGAGGAGTCGTCTGCCTATGTTAAGGTATCGCAGCTTCTTTATTTGCTCTTTTTGGGTTTGAAGCTGGCTTATTTGCTACAGAAGCTCCATTTATATCCTGTGAGGAATATGCTTTGTACTCAATGATGAGTGCAAATCATGAGTCTTTATTACAAAGTGAACTAAGGTGCAGTTCCCCTCACCATCTCAATCATTCTCACACACTCCCTAACAGCAACATATTTGGCAAGAATATTGTGGGGTAATTTCAGATTTACGGGTTGATTTTAGAAATATAAGGACATGTTTGCCTTTTCCATAGAGCCTACTCACTTTTACAGTGATGCTCTTATTGTATGTATGCATGCAACACTCTGGTCTCTGGGCCAGCCAGCGGGCCAGAAAGCAGGTTGTACTGCAGCAACAAAGGCCAAGGGCTTAGCTTTGGGAGCTAGCTGCTACAGCGACAATTATGGGACCAGGTTGGTTGTCAGAAAACTTACTATGTAATCAGATCTTTCTGTGTGACTCATTCCCAGCATTACAGAATACCTCGTATAAGATATAAGCACACCCAATGAGTTGTGGCTCCAATAATGCAGCCATAAATCACATAGGAGATCTGAATTTTGAAGCAGCTGCTCCATTAGCTATTCATTGCATAAATCAACTACCAAACTGCTTGTTGAATAAATGATGACATCTGTAATAAGTTTTTCCACACATGTGAAAGGCAAATGATCCTGTGTGGGCCTGTGAGAGTATTTTCAGTGGAGATACACAACAACGATTCAACAGCACAGTCACACGGAATTGACTGTTACATGTCCAGCAGAGGAAATATAGCCGGAATCAGGGACTCAGTTAATGAAAATGTACGCTGGCTAATACTGATCGCTTGACCAAGAGAAAAAAAAATGCACTACGCCTACTTATGATGACAGCTCTAAAAATACAAGCAGCGTATTCTATTTTGAGTGCTTGATGCAAACATGTCTAAATATTCAGTGCAGTGACTCTTGGTAGCTGTGATGATTTCTCTCCTTAATCATGAGAAAAAGCAACACACCTGAGCTCATTGTCGAGATCCCACAGCTGGCAAACACACACACACACACACACACACACACATACACACATTTACATTTCCGCACACTAACATGCATGCCAGCACAGACATACACGCAGGTGCATAGAAAAAGATCAACATGCAAACAAACCCTTGGCATGCAAGCACATATGCAGCCTCAAACCCCCACAACTGTCAAAATGATGACAATAAAATCATAAAATAGGTCATCTTTAAAAGGCATTTCAAAGCGTAGCCGAATTGCCATTAAGCCCATGTGAAGAGTCTACCAAGCTCCTCAGACTGCATGTGACCAAGTCTCTGCCTGTCTGAGCAGAACAGCCTGAGGAGGCAGTGACAGTAACACCTTGGTCTAAGAGGCTCCCAAAATAAAGTGTCTCTGGATGACCTGACACTCATGAAGCCATGAACATATGCTTAAACACATGCACACGTGCAGCACATGCTTGAAGACATTCCTATTCAGTAAGTAAAGTGACAGCAGATCTAATTCAAGACGGCTCTTTGAATTTATGGTTTTAATAAAGAAAGAAGTGAGTCGTTAATTCATTATCCTACCATTTAAGTGCAGCAGAGGTGAAAGAAATTAAGTAAGAAAAGAACTGAACATTTGCAGATATCAAATGTACTAAAAATAAACAGTAACCCTTAATACAGACGCTACGGCTGCAACTAATGATTATTTTCATTAGTGATTAATGATTGAATCTGTAAAATGTCCTAAAATTCTGAAAAACAACAATCACAATTTAACCGAGTCCAAGGACAAACAGTCCAAAATCCAGACATAGATGATTTACAAACATCTGAGAGAATGAGTAAATGCTCATAATTGAGAAGGTAAAGGTTTAGGAGTTTTCCTTCACACATTATTTCATAATATGAATACATTAATGTTGGTGTGAAACAAAAATATGAATATTTTTGACATTTTGAGGAAATACATGACCTCACATTCTTATTAAGAAAAGACGAGAGAGGATCAATACCACTCTCAGATATTAAAGTGGTATTGATCTTCTCATCCGACTTTCAGCAAGAAAGCATGTTTACCAAAATGACTATTACTTCAACTCAAGGTCCACCCACTAGCTTTTTCAAGGGCTTTCAACCCCATCTCATGGTCTTCATTAGTTAACAGTTTAAGAGTTGATGACAAATGACAAATGAGCAAGCTCGTTCTGTTGAGGGAACATGGTTAAAGGCTCCAGAAAAAGCAAATCAGTAGACCTTGAATTTAGATTTATTTATTTTTTTGTCAGATTAATTGTCAATTTATTTCTGTACTATTTGGCATAAATCCTTGAAATGGTAAACATCGTACTAGGTTGTCTGAACTTTATCTTTTTAATGTTGTAATGATTGAAGAACCTTTGGTCACAGGTCCCATGTTGTGTATCTCCAGTCTAGTGAGCACGCTCCCCTGTCAAGACATGCTAACACTTATCTCTGCTGTATGTTTACACTGGATGCCTTTGCACAGACAGGTTGCCTACAATATATCACTGACACGATACGGTTCAATCACAGGCTCTTACAACCCTGCTCTTAGAGGCTGCACTAACTTGAGCGAAGCACTTAAAAACACCAAAGCTGGAGGTTAATTGATGCATGGGTCACAACCATTGAGACAGGAGTCAATTAGAAAGCTTCGGATAAAAGCCTCTGCTCACTGGAATTATAAGCAACGTTGTGTATGGAATCAGCAAATACAGGAAGCCCTGGTATCCTTTTAGTACAACCATAGGTTCAAATTGACTTAACTTACCAAGCACAGTGAATATGCAGGAGTTTGTTTTACTGGCATTGGTGCAGAGAGCAGAAGTTCCACATGTATCTGATTGAATAGTTATATTTTGATAATTAGACCTGTTATGGGACCCATATTTAAAGTCTGTTCTCTTGTACAATGCAGGGTTTCCTCCTGAGCTCCCTGAAGAGAGGAAGGAACATTGTGAAGCCTTGCTGTCGACCATCAAGGAAATTGCAGCAAAGGCATTGATCCTCTGAAGAATATAGCTACATGACAGATGTGATGATCATTGCAGAATTGCTTCTCCTCAGAGAGAGAAACAGAGCAAGAAGGAGATGAACGACTAACGGCCAACCAGCTATGAAATAAGAGAGAAATAGCGAGGCAAAACAAGTGGAAATATTCAGAAGTTAAAGACATTGTTTCCAATTGTTCTGGACCGCTCGTGTATTAGACGATTATGATTTGGCCGGCGCTTAAAACAACTACAGCCTGTGTGGGCTACGCACCAGTATTGACTGCAGTGAGTCACCTTACAGCGTAAACAGCAGATCTTAGAGGAGGCTGAGGGGTTTTGAAAGTAATCCAAAATCCAGAGAGACAATCATCAAGGCCACACACTGTACAGATGGTGTTTACCACGTGGGAGGCGGAGTGGCTGAGGGGGTGTGGCCAACAGACGGCAGAACCGACCACATCTCAATTAAAGATTTGCTGATCATTGATGGAGAGTTAATGGCAGTCAATGGCAGCGTTATGTTCCATGAACTTTGCCGTCACTGTTTGAGACGTGTTTGATGTATCACTGCGCAAAGGTTAGCCGAACATGCCCTTTAAAGGGACAATTCACCCCAACATCATGTAGGAAGTATTCATAGTTCCCTCAAACGGCTCACAACAAGGTCAGTGGATAATCTTGAGTAGCCATGATTTCTGGAAAGAAAGATTGCTGTTGAGTATTTTTTTGGCGCTTTAAGCACCACAAGCCGAGTGACTATAGTCCCATTATATTGGAGAGAAGGCAGACATTTCTATGGCCGATATCTCGGGGACTCACACCAAAACAATCTAGATGTCTAAATATCACTTTATAAAAGGTAGGTAATATGCATTTGTTTATCTTAGGGGGAACTTTCCCTTTAAGGTGCAACTTAAACTGAGAGTGCAAACTAGAGTTTTAATAAATTATTTGAACTCCATGTTTTACAATACATCTATTAAATGTGCAGAATGGCGATTAATTAATTGTGCAATTACGTTTTTCATTCACAATGATCTATTTACAAATTGCATCTATTTGTAATGAAATAAACAGCAAACTACAATTTAGCAATCAATCACCACCCACGCTGACACCAGCAATAAGAGCCATGATGGAAATATGACACGGCCCACATCAAGTGAGAGCTGCACAAGCTGGATCTGCATGATAATCACAAAGGAGCAGGTGCTGCTGATGGACACTTGTGCTGCTGCAAAAAGAAAAAGGCCAGACCCCATGCTGAAGAGATGCGGCACCTAAATCAAAAACTCAGCTCAGGGGGGTAAAAGCTTGTATAACTGCAAGTGACCACATTTGTTTATTTCACATCAGATGGTGATAATCATTCAGAGACGTCCCTGCAGCCCCCAGTGAAGACAGGTATAGGATGTCTTTGACAGTGCACGGTGTCTCCTGAATGCTGCAGTGCACACTCCTATAGCATCTCCAATCACATTTCATTCCACCTTAGCCCAGATGTGATCTAAGTAAGTCTGTGATGAAAAATGAATGATTGATAAGGCGCCAGATGTTTGGTGCCGTTTACCTCTGGATCTGGCGGAACACCGAGCACACGTTGACCAGTGAGAGGAGACAGTGGGCAGAAAGAAAATGAATCTCGTAACTCATCAGATAACATGATGTGGCCCAGGTCCAACACGAAGCTAAGATGTTGGCCCTGCACTGTGAGGAGTCCAGCGGCAGAGCGGCAGAAGCTGAAGACCACTGATTAGACACATACGAGCTCGGAGCAACGGGGCCGAGAGCGTGCAGAGCTCTGATGCGGACTGCGGTGCATTCATTAATAGAGTAGGCTACACACATCACCCTGCCTGCATAAGGCTACACGGTGGAAAATGGACGCCTAGCATCAAACGGCCGGTACAGAGGAAACTCAGTGGAACGGGACACAGATCACACGTTACACACATCCACATCCACAGACAACCACTCCCGATTGTGCGACCATTTCGGCATATACAAACAGATATTTTAGTCCCAACACCTGCGGTGCAGATGCAGGGAGAGCTTCAAACGAGCTATTATAAGGATATCATTTGCATAATAGACGTTGCCGTCGCTAATTATAGGCCCGCGGAAATAGGTGGGAAAAATCATTCAGCATTTAATCAGAGAAGTGGCAGAAGTCTGAGAATGATTATCATTCTGTTTTTTTCCCTGATTCCGTAGTCTACACATGTCAGTAGTGGGCTAAGTTGCGGGCAACGTGAAACAAATCAACGTGGCGTGTAAATGACACTGAATGAACTGTGATCCATTAAGCTGCAAAGTAAAGACAACAGTAACACAGTAATCGTAATCATTAAAAGAAGCTCGTGGAGGTCTTACCTGCAGGGTTTTTTTTATTTCAGAGATTCGCAGCGCGTCGCACTCCCAGAGAGATGGAGATGGAGGGAAAAAAAGAAGATAGGGGGTGGACGGTGGATGGGCTGAATAACGGGTCTATCGAGGCAAAATAAATAAATAAATAGAAAGGGGATGATTAGAGTTGGTGAAAATAAGAAGCTCGTGAGGGACTGGATTCCCAATTCCTGATTAAATTTAAGTCAGCCAGTGGTGGAAAAGGGTTGAACATGCATAAAAAAGGCTAATACAAAACACGTCACTGAACACGGATTTGTCTACAGTGGATGTGGCCGCTGCTTGTGTGTACTCGGGGAGAATGCGTCTCCCCCCCCCTCCCCTCCGGTTGGACGAGCGCTCGCCTGCCTGCCTGTCTGCTCCTCTATCTATTTCTCCCACACTGAGCGCGAAGCAAGCAACTTGTCGCATCCCACCAAAACTCCTCAATGATGTGAATGATGACGGATAATGTCAGAATCGACACAAGATGAAATCTACTACACTATGTTGCGCTACAAGATCACGGAGAAGGTTTAACCCCCCCTCATCTCATCTGCCCTCCCTCTCCCTCTTCTCTCTCATATTGAGGGAATTGGTCTGGATGTGCTTATTGGAGCGTGTGCCGCGCGCGCAGGGCTGTGCGATTGTAAGTAGCCTACTAGCCATGACCATGTTTATATGTGTTATTGATGTAAAAAAAATATATATATATATATATATGTATAGATATATATTTTGCTGGAGAGCGACTCGATGGAGCGCCAGTGGGACACTTTCCCTCTGTGGTGATGATGATGATGATGATGATGATGGGGCCGCGCTGGTAGTTCTGGGAAATGCAGCACGAGCGCAGCCCTGCAGAGAGAGAGAGAGAGAGAGAGAGAGAGAGAGAGAGAGAGAGAGAGA